CTTCACCACTACCACCATCACCACCAGTGACAACCATTACCACCACCACCACTACCACCACCATCACCACCAACAACCACCACCATCAACAGCCACCACCACCACCATCACTATACCACCACCACCATCACCACCACCACCACCATCACCACCACCACCACCACCATCACCACCAACAACCATCAACAACCACCACCATCACTATCACCACCACCACTACCACCATCACTACCACCTTCACCACCTCCACCACCAACCATCACCACCAACCATCACGGCCACCACCACCCATCACCACCACCACCAACCATCACCACCACCACCAGCAGTGACAACCATGGCTGTCCTTCTCTCATGATGGGGTTGGTGGCAGGCAGGTTGAGGGGATACTTGGCACCCTGCTCTTAGCCCCACTCTGTGCTCAGAGCCTGCTCAGTGCGGCCCCATCTGGGGGTGGGTGGCTCCCCAGAGCCTGCTGTGTGCCTGGCCTGCTGGGGCCGGTCCCAGGCCCCTCGGGTGGCCCCACCTGGTGGACTACTGTTTGGACAGCCAGGCCCCGCTGGAGATGGCTCTGTTCTCACTGGGGGCTGTGCGGCCTGCGTGTGGCTCCCCAGGCTGAATGGAGATTTCCCGCAGGTTATGGGGGCCCTGTCCTGCACCCATGTGTGCACACGAGGCCCCATGTACAACACAGGTTTCTGTCATCAGAAGCATACCCCAACACCACAGTTAAGACAGACTTAGCACTAAAAGGTCCTCTGGACCCTTTCTAACTCTGGAACGAGGCGTAATATAAAATGATAGTATGTGTAAGTATGAAACGATAGTATGGATAAGTATAAAATGATAGTATGGGTAAGTATAAAACGATAGTATGTGTAAATATAAAATGATAGTATGGATAAGTATAAAACAATAGTATGTGTAAGTATAAAATGATAGTATGGGTAAGTATAAAACGATAGTATGGTTAAGTATAAAATGATACTATGGGGTAAGTATAAAATGATAGTATGGGTAAGTATAAAATGATAGCATTGGTGGAGGATCCATTGCTATTTCTGGCTCAGTGCTGCCTGGTGAGCCGGACACCAGAGGGGCTGCACATGATGCAGGGTTGCTGCCTAGCCCAGGGGCAGTATGTGCGTGCACATGTGTAGTCCTCATTCCAGCAAGAAGAACAGACCCTGACTGAAAGAAAATGCAGTGAGCTTTATCTCGGGGTGACTTAGGGTCTCTCATGGGGCACTTGCAAGGAGCCGAGAGAGCTCATGCTGGGCTTGAAGCCCACAAGACATTTGTGTCCCGGGCACTCGGTGTGTTTCCTCCTAGGGAGACATCCGTAGACCGGCTTTGGAGGGTGGAGTCCAGTCCGGCTTCTCCTGGCTTTCAGCCATAGAGGAAGCTGTGAGATCACTCCAGGTTAAGAAGTGAGATCTTCAGTGCCTTGTGCACTGATAGGCCTTTTCCCTCTGTGAACCTAACGAGAGACCTTTCAACAAAGACCTTGGGGGGGGAAGGGGAGTCTGCCTGGAATTGGGCTCCTTAGGAGCCAGGAATGCACCACGCTGCCCAGCCCCAAGGGCGGGGGAAGAGGCTTCCCGCTGTATCGGAAGGAGGAATAAGTCCTCGGTGCTTAATAGAAGGCAACAAACAGCCATTGATGGCTAGGGGAGCCCTGGAGTGATTCCTAATTGGGGGTGGGGGAGGCGTGGGGGGGGCGAATGCTGCAGCAGTGGGAACAGTCCTTGGAGTGGGAGGAAAGGGGGAGAAGAAAGACCCCCAGGGAGGGAGGGCAGCGCAGGGAGCGGGGACGCAGAGGGGAAACAGGGGCGCTGTGCTTCTGGCCTGTGTGGGGCTGGCTGTGGGAAGCACAGCTTGTGCTCTGCCACAGAGAACATCAGATTTAATATCTGCCCAGCTGAGGACGCCAGGAAGGGGCCCAGAGAGATTCCACTGGGGTTTGCATGAGAACAAGGTCTCGCCCAGGAAAAGTGTGTGTGTGTGTGTGCGCATGATGTGTGACACTTGCACACATGTCTCCTTCCTCTTCCTCTACTTTCTGAGTTTCCTGACAAGATTGATTGTAGGGCCAGACACTCCCAGGGGAAATTCAGTCTGGGAGTTACCTGCCCTGCCCAGGCCTGGCCAAGTTCATCTTCTGTTTCTGGGCAGGTGATAACTAATAGCACAAAGGAACTTGTAGATTACTGTTTCTTACTCCCAGGGGTCAGAAATTGCCCTGAAAATAAAAGTAATTTAAGATTGCAATACACCTATTATTTTCAGCAAGGTCTAATGATGAAAAATGTGGGTACTTGTAACTGGTGTTGGTTTTATTCTAATGGAAGTCTATTAGGAGAACAAGGCAGCTACTAAATAATTAATGTTCTCAGCAGCTAGGGCACAGACACTGCTAATGAGTGCATCGTGCTGCGGATAGCCGCCTGGTGTCTAGAAATGGGGCAGTGAGGGGCTGCATGCTTCCACCCACCCCTGCTGCCCAGGGCTTGCAGGAGAGCCTCAGGACTATTGTTATTGTTGAGTCTCAGACTATTGTTGTTGTACCTCAGAAAGCCAGCAGAGCTGTGGGTCCCCCCCAGCCCGGGCTCACACCCCGTGCCTGTGGGAAAGGAAGCGCGGCTGGCAGAGCTGTGTGCCCTCCCCAGTCTCCGCGCTCCACCCTGGCTGGCCGGCTCAGTGTCCTTGGCCTTGCCAGGCTGTTGGAGGAGATTCATTCATTCATTGATTTATTATTTATTTTTGCGGAGAGAACCGCCAGGCCGCTTGGCCCGTGTCTGCTGTTAGCTGGGGTCTGCGCGGCGGGACAGGGCTGCTGCTTTGAGAAGAAGGGCTCCTGCTTTGAGCACGGGTGCGAGCTGCGGGTCGGCTCACGGCGCCGCGGCTGCTGGGCGGGCAGCGACTCCCAGAAGCCATGAGTAGTTCTGCTCCTGGAAGTCACTCATGGCTCCTTGAGTTAACATCCCCAGTGTGCGTGGGGTTATGATGATGACGAGGACCTGGCCCACGGGGGACGTGAGAGGGCACTTCCACCCTGGGCTGCAAGAAGGGCAGAGGGACGGCTCCAGGCCTGGGGGTTGGCGTGCCACCAAGAAATCTGCCGCTGGGATGGATGAACACTCTCCTGAGGCTCGGGTGGGGTTCGCAGCTGCAGCGGCATCCCGGTCCTCCTGTCCTCCCCTCTGGCTGCGTCTGTCCTCCGCCTGTGTCACCTGGGGGCAACATCTGTTGCTATGCTGTCTTGGTTTCCATGGTAACCTGGAAGCACCTCAGGCCATTTCCCAAGGGCAGCTCTGGAAGTGGCTCACACCATCCCTGCCTCTGCATCAGGGCCGGTGTGTGTGTGTGTGTGTGTGTGTGTGTGTGTCACAGCATCTGGGAGGCCAGGAGCTGTCCCTCCCAGGAGGCTGGCAGGGAGGACTGGCCGGGAGAGGCTCCGCACCCTGTCTCAGCCCGTTGAGCACACTGGGCTGGCCCTGTCCCACGGGGCTCGGCCCTTCTGGCTCATGGCTCCCTCCCCTGCCCCTCATCCCCGCCATCCGTTCCCCCCATTGTCCGTGTAAGTTCCTGCCTTTGCTCCGCCCGCCTGCCCGTTTCTCGCAGGTGTGCCGGGAGGTTTCCTGTCTGGTCTCTGGCTGTGAGCCGCCGTGTGTCCCGCGTTCTTGGTTTCCTGTTTGTCTGGAAAGGCTGCTTGCTGAGTGCCGAAAGAATGAAGACAGCGTCTATTTTAGCCCCTAATTTATGCAAAAAAACCTGAGCCAAGTAGAAATAGAAACTTCGTTGATAGGCAGCGTCCTCGGAGCTCTAAAAGAAGCATCGGTCTTGACAGGAATTCAGGTTTATGGAAGAGGCGGGGAAGGCTCCGGTGTGGCGGCCCTGGTGTCCGCCGAACGTTTGGGCACCGGAACATGGAAAAGAAATGGCCCGGAAAAACAAACCCCGAAAACAAAGTTGTCTAAGAGAGTAACTCACCACTGACTTCGTGGTGGGCCCACAGGTCAGGCTGGGCTGGGCTTTGCTCCTGCTGGACCAGCTCAGCTGGTATGATTTGGGGTGCTACACACAGAGAAACCCAACCAGAATGGGTTATACAGCCCCAGGGAGGGCACTGCCAGCCTGGGGGTGACATCGGTGACATGCGCTGTGGGGCTGTGAGTGTGAGAAACAGTGTGCGGGGCGACACCGGCGACATCGCGGTGCGCGGTGTGAGTGTGACACACGGGGAGCCCAGGAAGTCGACAGGTGTGTCACAATTGTGCGGAGTGTGTCAATACACCTGCCTCTGTCTCCTCTCCTCTTGACATTTCTCCTTCCTTCCTTCCTTCCTTCCTTCCTTCCTTCCTTCCTTCCTCCCTCCCTCCCTCCCTCCCTTCCTTCCTCCCTTCCTTCCTCCCTCCCTTCCTCCCTCCCTCCCTCCCTCCCCTCCTTTCTTCTCCCTTTCTCTGTCTCTCTCTCCCTCTCTCCCTCTCCCTCTCCCTCTCCTTCTCTCTCCCTTCCTTGTCCTGGGGCTTGAACTCAGGGCCTGGGCGCTGCCCCGAGGCTCTTTTGCAGTTAGTGCCACCATTTTCAAGGGCAACCGGCCTTTTCATCTCCTCTGGCTTTGTCTGCCACTGTGCTGGCTGCCAGCCCCAGGTCTTACTGACTGATAAATCCAGAGAGACTTTATTTCTGCCACAGATTCGCGTACTTACACTGACTGAGAACCTATCAGCTGAACTCTGTCATGCACTTGTAGGAGTTGCTTTATGCTTAAAGTTTTCTGTAGACCTTATCATTACCATTATGCATGTGCTTGCTCCAAACCACTTGCTGCCTATGGACCCTGCGCTTCCTCCTGCTCTCCCAGATCTCCCAGCAGTCTCTATTGTGGCCCACACTAACCAGAAACACCAGGAGGATGCTGGGAAATGTAGTTTAGCCCAGCCAGAAGGGCTGGAGAGACAGCATGTGGAAGGGAGCTCGGGGTGACTGCACAGGCGCTAGTCCCTCTCCTGGCACTGTGGCCCGTCCCCGCGCTCTCGGCCCTGCTCGGGGCTTGGTGCTTGGTGCCCTGCGCTCTTGGCCCTGCTTGGGGCTCGGTGCTCGGGGCTCGGTGCTCTCGGCCCTGCTCGGGGCTCGGTGCTCTCGGCCCTGCTCGGGGCTTGGTGCTCGGTGCCCCGCGCTCTCGGCCCTGCTCGGGGCTCGGTGCTCGGTGCTCGGTGCTCTGTGCTCTGGTCGGTGCTCGGTGCTCGGTGCTCTGGGCTCTGGTCGGTGCTTGGTGCTCGGTGCCCCGCGCTCTCGGCCCTGCTCGGGGCTCGGGGCTCGGTGCTCGGTGCTCTCGGCCCTGCTCGGGGCTCGGGGCTCGGTGCCCCGCGCTCTCGGCCCTGCTCGGGGCTCGGTGCTCGGTGGGGCTCATGCCCATCCACTCCCTCGTGTCGCCGTGGCACGGTGGCTTCAGGGTGGCATCTGGCAGAGACGAGGCTGCAGGCAGACGCAAGCACCAGGCTTCAACCTTTCACGAACCGGCCTTGGGGCATGCGTGGAGACTTGCTGCTCTGCCCTGGCCTCCCCGTCTCCCGCCAAGGTGCAGGCAGACGGCAGTGGAATCGTGCCCGTGTGTGCCCGACGACACTGCGGCTCTGCCTCCTGCTGGGCGGCAGGGCTGTCGTCAGCCTGTCGCTTCCTGAGGTTGGTAGCGGAGAGGCTGGTGCGGCTGGGGTGAGCCCGCCGTGGTCCTCCCCAGCCCGCATGGAAGCCCCGTGGCCTCCTTCCCCTCGGTGCACACGAGCACTCACCCCCAGCAGCTCCAAATCCAGAAAGAGGTCAAACCCTCGCTTCCCTCGGTGGCTTCTGGGGACAGGGCTGAGACCCCTGGTGGTTTGTCAGCAGGGCCCTCGAGGCCCACCAGGGTCAGGGCTCCACTCCCCATGGCCAGCGCCCTGGCCACGCCTCCCGGCCGGCTGGCGAGACTCGCAGATGATGCCCGCCCCTCTGCCCCTCTGCCGCGCGGCTGCTCGGTTGGTGAGATGTCGGAGCCTACTCCCAGTGCCGCTGGCTTCCCTCGGCCCTTCCGTGCCCGCCTGGCTGCCCTGCCGGCCTCCAGCTCCTCCGACTCTCCCTGGGCGTGTGAGTGGATGTTCTGGAATGGCCCCAACTCCACTCACTCCAGGTCTGCCGAAAGCTCACCTGTCTCTGCCCACAAGGCCTCATCTGGGTGCGGCCAGCGCGGGTCTCGGAGTTCTGGCTTCGTTCATTGGGGGGAATCGGCAGCCTCTGTCAGACTGAGCCGACAGATGACTGCTTTAAGACTGAATGGAGTTTTCAAAGCCGCTGGCATGGTGGGTGCTGGCGTGGTGGGTGCTGGCGTGGTGGGCGCTGGTGTGGTGGGCGCTGGTGTGGTGGGTGCTGAGCTGTGGTGGGCGCTGGTGTGGTGGGCGCTGGTGTGGTGGGCGCTGAGCCATGGTGGGGTCTGAGCTGTGGTGGGCGCCGGCGTGGTGGGCACTGAGTTGTGGTGGGCGCTGAGCTGTGGTGGGCGCTGGCGTGGTGGGTGCTGAGCTGTGGTGGGCGCTGGCGTGGTGGGTGCTGAGCTGTGGTGGGCGCTGGCGTGGTGGGTGCTGAGCCATGGTGGGGTCTGAGCTGTGGTGGGTGCTGAGCTGTGGTGGGTGCTGAGCCATGGTGGGTGCTGAGCTGTGGTGGGCGCTGAGCTGTGGTGGGCGCTGGCGTGGTGGGCGCTGGCGTGGTGGGTCTGAGCTGTGGTGGGTACTGAGCTGTGGTGGGTGCTGAGCCATGGTGGGCACTGAGCTGTGGTGGGCGCCGGCGTGGTGGGCGCTGAGCTGTGGTGGGCACTGAGCTGTGGTGGGCGCTGGCGTGGTGGGCGCTGAGCCGGGATGTACTCTTTGCTTGGCCATCAGGCTGGGGCCTCACTCTTGCTGGGCTGGGCTCCGTCCCTGTGCTCAGGGCCCCCCCATGGTGGCTGCTGGGCAGGATCAAAGTTCAGCTAGCAGCTGGGCATCAGGCATCCTCAGAGATCCTTGACAGTGCAGCCTGGCTTGGGCACCGGGTGGACGGCCCTGCTGCTGTGTTGTCTCAGGCCGGCCAGTGCCTTCTCTGGGGAGGGCCTGCTGGGCAGGCGCACGTCCTCTGTGCATGTGAGCATCTGGCAAAGTCAAGACGCTGCCATCCAGACGCTGTGCAGACTCGCAGAGTCCTCAGCGGAGGAGCCTGGGCCTCTCCAGCCCCCCAGCACAGCCTGGGGGAGAGAGGAGAAAACCTCGGCTTGTTCGCTGTGTTGCCCCGTGGTTGCTTGTGGAAGTCCAGCTTCTACTGGCTTCTCAGGGCCAAACGGCTCTGGAAATCAAATCTGTGAAGGGAAAGTGCTTGAGTGGATACAATCAACAGAGGAGAAGTTAGAGAACTTACATGCTCGTAATGCTTTCCAACTCTGGTTGACTTCAGATCTAATTACTGTGGAGTAATTGGCCTATAAGAAAGATTTGGAGGCTGTTGTAATTAATACAATGGCCCAAGCAGAAGATGGGATGGAGTTGTTCATTCTAATTAATCGGTGGCCGGGGAGTCCTGTTCCCGGGGAGAGCTCCGTTCCTGGGGAGTCGGGGAGAGCTCCGTTCCCGGGGAGAGCTCCGTTCCCTGGGGAGCCTCTCGGGGGGACTCCGCATCCCTTGGGACTGGAGGCCCTGGAGACCCTGCCACTGACTTCCCGCCCAGCAGACACGCTGACATTTATTGAAGAGCTGCCAGGTAAATGTGAGGTTAGAGGAAGGGCTGCGAGCTGACGCAAATGACATTCAGAATGTCATTCTATTTTTGGGTTTCTTTGAACTCTTCTGAATTTTAAGGGTAATGAATTTAGAGATTCTGTTTGGGTGGCTTTTAAATATCCTGCAGTGTCTATACGTCTGTCTGTCTGTCTTACGCAGTGATCTGAGACCAAACCCAGGGTCTCATGTATGCTAAGCAAGAGTTCTGCCTCGGAGCCGTGTCTCATGTGTGTGTGCACGTGTGCGTGTGTGCGCGTGTGTGCGTGGGTGGGTGGGTGTGCGTGTGTATTTGTGTGTGTGTGTGTGTGTGTGTGTGTGGCCTTACATTCCACATCCTCTTGCTGCAGCCTCCTGAGGTCTGGGGTCGTAAGTACGGACCGTCTACCTGGGAATTTTCTCCCACCTGTAGTTTTTTTCCTTCGCCGTTGTGGATCTGAAGTAATTCTTGGTGACCTGGAGGTGCCACGCGCTTCTGGAGTGCTGGAGCCAAGGCGGATGCCGGCCGCCTGTCCTCAGGGAAGGGCCGCAACCCCGGGGGCCTCCCTGGGTCTGGAGTCTGCTGCCACAGACCGCGTGTGAGTGAGAGAGATGCCGAGGAACCGAAAACACCTATCCACTTAATAAAAGAAGAGCCCCACGCTTCTTCAGAGCCCAGAGTCTCTGCGGTGCGTCCTCCACAGTGCCCACAGTGTGCGCCGCCGTTCCTCCACACAGGAAGACACCGGAAAAGGAGGTGCACAGACCAGAGAGAGCACCCCAGCGGCCCAGGGGCCGTGGCTCCGCGCTGAGCGCCGCCCTGGCGCGGGAGGCCTGGGGTCAGCCTCTGGTTCTGGAAGCCGGTGGTGTCCAGAAGAATGAGGCTGGGTTATGAGGAGTGGAGGAAACGGGCGTGCATGGCCCGGTGGCTGGAGGCGTGGTGTCCACCGGCGGTGCAGAGGGCTGGCGCCCCGTGAGGGCACTAGGCCCTGGGCAGAGCTGCCCTAAGAAGAGGCTCGGGGTGTCCCTGCCGACCCCGGTGAGTTATCTCGAGGAGGTTGTCACAGAAGAGCAAGCCTGACCTGACCTCCGGCCCTGGACTGTGCCCCGACCCCCGCTCCCGCGGGGGTCACCTGCACGGAGTCCTCTCGAAGGCCGGTCAGCCGGACGTGGGGGCTGAGGGAGCCTCTGCCCTCCACCCAGCCTCACCCGTTTTATTTTAGCCACAGAAAGCAGACTGAGACAATGGGTAAAAGCTGGAGAGAGATCCTATAAAAAGAGTAAAGCTGAAATGCTAGCACCGCCCTTGGTGATATCTGTAATTAAAAATAAATTAGTAGCCGGGCACTGGTGGCTCACACCTGTGATCCTAGTTATTCAGGAGGCTGAGATCTGAGGACTGTGGCTCAAAGCCAGCCTGGGCACAAAAGTCCGTGAGACTCTTACCTCCAATAAAACACCAGAAAACCAGAAGTGGTGCTGCGGCTCAAGGGGTAGCACGCTCTTCCTGAGCTGAAGAGCTGAGGGACAGTGCCCAGGCCCAGAGTTCAAGCCCCATGACATAATAAGTAAATAAATAAATAAACAACGGACTCACCAGAAGATCAGCGATGGTGGAGAAGCAGCAGAGAGCTTAAGGACAGTGGAGCTTGTCAAGCGGAGAGGCGGCTGCTCAAGCCTGGGCCTGCGTGCGGTCGCAGTGTGCTGTGTGGAACGGGAGGAGCGAGGAAATGGGGACACGGATATTTAAAGAAATAATGGCTGCAAAGTTTCCAGCTTGCTAAAAGACATATACTTGTCACGTGACCTGGCAAAAAAAACATTTCCACTTATTTCCTTGAGAGAAATGAAAACAAATGTCCAGAGAAGATTTATATAGAAGTTTTCACACCAGCCTTCCACTGGAGCCCTGCGCTGAATAGAGCCCAAATGTTTGTTAATTGCTAAATGGCTAAACAAATCCCGCCGTACGGCACTGTGTGTGTAAATCCCGCCGTACGGTACGGCACTGTGTAATAGTACTCATTTGTGAGCAGGGGTCCCTGCAGACAGACGCCCGGCCCTGCATTAGTTGCTGGAGCCGTGTGTCCGGTGAGAAGAGCCAGATGCGCAGGCCTACATGCTGCGCAAGTCTGACTTCCATGGTGGCCTAGGGGAGGTGCCGCGGCGCGGAGCAGGAGCTCACAGGGGCCAGAGCCTGCGGCTGGAGCCCCGGCCCCTCCCCCGGTCCCTCTTCCGGGGTCAGAGAACCTTCTGGGCCATGGCTGGGGGATAACACAACTGCCCCTCCCAACACGTGTACGTAAATTACGTTTCAGTGTGTCTTCTGGCTTTATCGAGTCTGTCCCTTTGGGACCTGGGGATTGCACTCAGGCCTCGTGCTCGGAGTTGGTTGTTTTGGAGGTAGTCACTGATGAGGGCCCGGCCGGCCTGGGCTGCCGTTTCCCTGTGTGCGCTTGTCAGTCTTTCAGGATGATGCTGGGTGAGGGAGAAATCCACACCAAGGACAGCTGCCGCTGTGTCGGGTGCCCGGAGCAGCCTGCAGTGTGCCCAGCTTCCAGAACACACGGGGGAGAGGGGGGTGGGGGGGTGGGGAGGGACAATGCCTGCCGCCCCTCCCCCAATTCCACAGTGGGAAGACACAGAGACCACGGGTCTGAGCTGTATGAGGAGCTGGGGCAAGGGGCTTCCGGCCTTCCTTTCCTGGGAGAGTTTGGGGTGTTGTCAGAAAGAGTGGCAGAGGAAAAACAAAATAATGGTGGCCATCGTGGTAGCTGTGTCCGGCCTTGTCACCGCGAGGCTGACAACATCATCTAGGCTGGAAGCGGGGCGGCGTTGTTAGCGTGAAGAACCGGCAGGGCCGGGCAGCCGGGAAGTGGAGGTGCCGCCAGGGGCTCCTCATTACCAAGATTTATTGTCGCCAGCTCTGCAGGGCTGGTGAGCAGAAATCCGCCACTCCGGCCGGTCTGCAAGGTGCGTAGATGGAAAAAGAAGATGAGGACAGCAGAGTCTTCGTGGAAGCGGGGAAGATCGCTGCCTGACTTAGGGCTGACTCGAGGCAGACGGGAGCTCTGCATATTTTTACCAGAAACATGTATGTGAGATTTGAGCAAAAGCAGAACAAGAGAAGTAAGGGACGTGTTGTCCCCATTCTCCATGCGACTGAAGCCACAAA